TGAGTTTAGGAATTAATTTAGATTTATGTTTAGTTTAAATTAAAAGAAATTAAAAAGAAAATTGAAAAGGAAAAGAAAAGGAAAAGGAAATAAAATAAAGAGAAGAGGGAATTGGGCCAGTCTTGATTAAACTACTCAAAGCCCAAATAATTTCTCCCCTAAACCCGTCCAAACCCACAGCCCAAACCCTGTCACACTCGGTCCGCAGCGTTTAGTCACCAAATGACACAGTTCCGAGTTTCCCCAATAAATCCAATCTCGGCCTTCCGTTCCGTCTCATCCAACGGTTCAAATCACTTCCCCCACATTGTTTATAACTGTCCTAATACCCTAGACAACATAAGACCCCATCAGTTCACTTCGTCTCTTGCCTCATCTCAAATGAACCCTAGCCCGCCGCCCCTATTCTCCTCCGCCCTGAGGTGGCGGCGCCATCGCCAAACCCTACCAAATATACACCATAGAACCCCCATGGCTCCCTCTCCCCTAATCTACAGCCGGTTTCCCTCGAATCCTCACAGAGCTTCTCGAATCTTAAATCCAATTCGAAACCCTAAAACCCCAAATCGCCTTACCCTCGATTCTGTGGCATGCACTGGCCTGGGCCTTTGATTTTCACGTTTTGAAAGCTCGATTCAAAGCAAAATCGATGTTGTTCACTTGTTCTTGACAAAGAACAATTCAAGATCAGTGAATAGCATCAGTTTCGTTAAATCAAGGATTCTAGTGTTGGCTTCGAGTGTTGCTTGGTGAGTTTTCTTTCTTTTTCTGTCCGTTGTTATTTGTTTCATCTCTTGTTCTTCTTCTCTTCTTCTACGTTTGTTTGAATGGTCTGTCCTCCGTTAAAATTGTTGAAGAATTTTGGACCTGATCTTTCCCTTTAGATTAATTTGGGATTCATTTATTTCCGTTCATTTTTCAATTCTTTTTTTTTTTTCAAAATTCTACAAGTTGTGCCCTGATTTTGTGTATCCATTCTGTTTAATTTAGGCTTTAAGTTTCTGATTTTCCCTCCCTTTATTCTCATAGTTTAATTAGGTTTATTTCTATCTAATAATTTAGTTAGTTTCACGCTCTTTGTGTTTGGTAATTATTCATCTTGTTAGGTTTAGTCTTGAAATCATTTGATTGGCTTTTCCTTTTTTCTCCTGCCTTCTTCAGAATACGGACTTTAGTTTGGGCTTTGGTTCGTGTCTGACCCATTTGCGAAGGGCAGCCCATTCGTTTTGGTTTAAACCATTGGGTCAATTTGGCCCATGATCCATATGTGTCTAGTTTTAGGGGGTAAAAACAGAGGGTCTGGGGGTTAATTTAGGAAATATAGGTAGGGGAATTTTTCAGTAACTGAAAAGGAAGCTTCTAGGAAGCTGGGGTAGGGGAATTCTCTGAACTTCTGATTTTTAACTAAGGTTAGCTAAGCAAAAATGAAAATTCAAAAAGGGGTAAAGTGTAAAAAATGAAAACCTAAGGCTGCCCTACTTGCCTTGCCTATAAAGGCATGTTTTCTTGCCTTGAAAGGTGGCTTTTTGATATTCTGAAAGTCAGAAGAAGAGGGCTAGAAAATATAGAACCATAGGCGGCTGAAAAAAGAAAAAAATCAAAAAGAGTTTTCACTATTCTATTGAAATCTTCCTAAAATTCTTAGGAGTTCTGATTCTGAAATCTATTGTTGTTTTTTAACTTGGAACAAGTCTGAAAAGTTGGTCAACAGTATAGTCTTTCCTTTTACTGTTGGGTTCATTTGATTTCTACTGTTGGGTTCACTTGATGTGTTAAATGGATTCAGTCATGTTTAGGTAACCATTGGTTCCATAAAAGTGGAAAATGGAATAGGCTTCAATTTAGGGTCGGTTGTGTGAGCATGCTTGAACAAATGAAATGTTTCGTTTATCACGTTAGAGTTTTGAGTTGTATAGAGAATCATTCTGATTAATTATGAGCATGAGCATGAGGGTCTATTGTTTGAATGCAGATTGTTTTTTCACTCAAGAACTTCATGAGGCACAGTTTGTCATTAGAGTTGTTGAATAAAGATTAATTGAAAGTAATTATGTGCCACTGTTTTGCTAAATCAGTTAAGGAGCTGTAGACCCAATATTCAGGCGCTATTTTCTCCGTTGGCTGCCAGGACTCGAAGTCGAGTCGGGTCTCGATTCTAGCAATCCTTTAAGGGATTTGCATTTCCTATGGGGCTGGACTGTTTGGGTCTGCAGGTTGGGCCCATTTTCGTTCCCCTCTGTTTATTTCTATGCAACATTTCTTGTTTAGTTAACATGAACCTCAGAATTAAAGAGGACTGGACGTTAGAATTAAGTCAACTTCGTGTGTGTCCTTTTAATAGAAACAGTCCATGGCCCATTTGGTTTCAAAGACAAGGAATTTTGAAGCGATTAGTGAGGTCTGCCATATTTAGCAAATGTAGTTTTGGCCCTCACGAATTAGTGTAGAAATGATTTAATTAAAATAAGTTGAGGTGCGCCGCGCCAAATAAAATCAAATTGCGTGGCCCTCCTTAATCATTTCTTTAAAATACTTAGAACTCGAGGTGCGCCATTTAGCGAATTTTCATGGCCCTCGCAAAGTTAACAACGCGTTAGTTGCTTTTAGGCACGTTATTTAATAATTTTATCTTCTTAAATTCGGGCGCACATTTATGTGACCCAGATCCAAATCTCAACGATGTTGAAATATGTCAAAAGCCACGGGTGCATTTATGTGACGTGAGACATGTTTTGATAACGTTGCAATTTTCTC